TATATATATCTTTCCCTTGTCTCTCTGTCATCTATACACCTCAAATTCCTTTAGAACATTACTATGGTTCGCCAATTTCAATGACGGCATAAAAGACCAGTGTTAAGAGCAATCATATAATGATATGACTGGAGCCTTTTGTATGACAAAAGGAATGAAGGAGGGCTGTGAGTTGGCAACAATACTGTTCAACATCGTGGTCTCATGGACGATGTAAGAAGCATTCCAGAGATTCTACTGGTGTTGATATCAGATGCAGACTGGATGTACCGGGTCTGTGGTTTAGCGGGGAGACTGTTTATCGAGAGCTCGGTCTTTCTGCTGGGATGTTGCATTCTTCTCAGTTTGAGTTGGCCCTGACTGGCTGGGAGCCCGCTCTAAATTGTGTTGACGGGGACATAAAAACACTTATATTTAAAAAAAATTCAGACAGGATGTTTAAGTCTTCAACTCATGTTGGCTGAAGGCAAAGACTGAAATGAGCATGGCAAATGTCTGTGAACTGCTATTTGCGGATGACTGCATTGCTTAGGCCTACTCATAAAGAATCAAGTTTGCAAAACTGTGTTCATCTTATTTCAAATGTATGTTGAGAACGTTGAACTCATAATAAACACAGCGAAGACAGAAGTTCTCTTAAGTTCCAGCCTGCCCCTGGTGATAAGCAGACCCTCGCCCTCTCGAAAGTAAGATGAATGAGATACATGTAACCATGAACAATGTTGAGTAGCTTCAAATATCTCGGTGGCACACCACTTTGAAATTCCCGCATCGTTACAGAAATAATTTTACGTATGAGAATAAAGCCAGTGCATCCTTTGAAAAAGACTCAGAGCACGGGTTTGGGGCTGCTGTGGCATTTGCGTAGAGACAAAGTTTAAATTCTACAATGTTGTTGCCCCCCCCCCCCCCACGAATGCAGTTGTACAGAGCAGAGATCTGGATAATGTACCACAACCATGACAAGTAAGCTTATCATTTTCGCATGAAATGTCTCATGAGATATTCTTGGCATCATGAAATGTCAGGGAAAAATATCATGGCTGAAGTTCTTTGAGGTGCAAACAACAAAAGTCTATTTTCTAATGTGCATGACCGTTGCAAGAATGCTTAATTTGAACGTCCCAAAAGTCGTCTTCGGGGAAGCAAAAAGTTAACGTACCAAAAAGCGCCCCAAAGACACCCTGAAATTGTCTCTGGGGGAATTCTACAATCCCTTGACATAGGAGAACGTGCTCACGACAGACCCAAGGGGCTGGAAATCATGCTTTTAATTTTAATGAATTATAAATGCTGAATAATTTAAGAGAGAAACCCACAAACTGGGTACACCCACATGTGGAAATGAAGCTTTTAAACGTCCAATATGAGGCAAACTCTATTCTGTCAAAATTCATCTCGTTGGCCATAGCAGAATTAACCCGTCGGTACGCTAAAGAAATTCTCTGCAGATGCATTGGTTGGTCATCATCAGACTTTGACGGACGAACTACTCTCAGTATTGATATTTATATAAGCATTCGCAGAACACACCATGATACTGATAGGCCTACTTTTTGCTGTGATGCAGCAGTATGGTGAAAATAGTAGGTCTACACGTAGTATTAGTATTACAAGACAGAATACTTAGCTTGTATCTGTGTACAACCCCCCCCCCCCAAAAAAAAAAAAAAAAAAATAAAAATAAAAATAAAAATAAAAAAATAAAAATAAAATAATGATAATAATAATAACAATAATAATAATAATAAAATAAAAATGAAAATGAAACAAAATAAATTAATATAAATTAAAACAAAAAATTTGAAATAATGTTTAAAAAAAACTTTAAAAATAAAAACAACCCAGGAATTTCAAGGACCTATTTGTTGACTTTAAAAAGCATCTGGAATTATCCTGTGTTCTGAGCGGGTGGTTGGAGGGCATCACTGGTTAAGTCCTCTTCTTTATACCATTTAACTCTCCCTATCTGTTGTTTCTGTCTTTCTGTTTTACTTTTCCCCCAGCACTAAATAGGCCTTTATATTGTGTCGATGACTTTCCCTCTGCTGTTTCTGTCTTACCCTTTCCCCAACAATGCCCATTGTTGTGTTGATGTAGCCTACTTCTCTTTATTAAAACAAAACGTCAAGAAACAACAACAATAACAACAACAACAACAACAACAACAACAGCAACAACAACAACAACTACAAAACTCAAGCACTCTGGGGTAATACACTGTTCAACAAAATTCTGTCTGTCTGTCTGTCTGTCTGTCTGTCTGTCTGTCTGTCACCCCCCCCCCCACACACACACACCTCTCTCTCTCTCTCTTCCTACTCGCTCTCTCTCTCCCTTCTCCCTCTCTCTCTCTCTTCCTACCCCCCCTCTCTCTGTGTGTGTCTGTCTGTGTGTCTGTCTGTGTGTCCGTGTGTCTGTCTGTCTGTCTGTCTGTCTGTCTGTCTGTCTGTCTGTCTGTCTGTCTGTCTCGATCTCTCTCTCTCTCTCTCTCTCTCTCTCT